TTTTTTTAAGTTCACCACTCATGCTTTATAATTTAAATTTTTTTATCCCGACGTTTTATCTACATTGATTCGCTCAGGGGCGTAGCCAGCCGTTTTGCATAGAGGGGTTCCAAATGTATATTGCTTGCCCAATTGAAAATCGAGCGCCGGAGGCGTTCTTTATTAAAAGAATTATTAGAATTATTATAATAAGAATTATTATTATTATTAGGGGGGGTCCGGGGGCATGCTCCCCCGGAAAATTTTTGAATTCTGTGTCTTCAAAAGTGGCGCTTCCTTGATTCTGAGCACAAATTTCCAATAATTTCAGCACCAAACGTAGCTAGTATTTCTAAGAGGGGATTGTAAATCTCACTTCCTGAAGAGATGGACCGTAAAAGAATTAAAACTGGATAATATAATAGTTGTTTAACATATTAGTTGTTTAACATATTACATATTTCATCAAATGCTGTAGAATTGTGATTTACCGTTCACTCAGCTAGGATATCAGAAAGAAGAGGGCGCTGTGGATGCATCCGTTTAAAAATGTCTGATTGTTGCACCAATGTCAATTTGCCTACCATAATGGATGTTCATTAGCGCAAGTCCAGAGTCTCGCTCACTGGCCATGGTCGCCCTCAAATAAGTTTTCAGTCGCCGCAATGTGCTGAACGATCGCTCACATTATGCAGAGGTAATTGGCAATGCACATAAGATGCGCAACAACTTATGTACGTTTGGAAAGAATTCATGGTTGCATTCTTCTAATACCTGAACTGCGTTGCTGGGTAGGTCTGATCCGTGTTTAGCCACTTGCGCCGCCAACGGAAAAGTTCCACATCAAAAACATGGGGTTATGGTAGGTCATCTACATAGTACTGCAAAGCGGCTTGTACAGGGTTTCCTTCTCGAGAAACTAACAAGGCTGGAAGTAGGCACAGGAGGGAAGACACCACAGCATCATTGTTGGGGTCAAAGTATGTGTCTATCTCAAAAAAAGATGATCCAACAGAGGAATGAATTGTAAGCGTTCTTTTGTAGTATTCCTTCGGTATTCCTGCTTCGACATTGCTTTGGTGCTGTTGCCGACCAACAACGCGTGGCATAGATGGCTCGATGTTTGCTGTCCTCGCTGTGGTGGTAGCCATGCTGTACCAATCCGAGCAATATTTCACGATGTCTCCTCTGATATCTTGTAGCTCACCCTTTAAATCTAGACATCGATGTCTCGCTTTTGCAGCTTTTGCTGGCCTCGGGGGTTTCTTTCTCAATTACGGCAAGCAAAAACTTGTTACGCTTCGGTTAATACGTAAAAAAATTGCAAACTTCATTGAATGTTCCAAGCATGTTTCTGATAAGGGGCTGATCACAGGCGTGAACGATTGTGAGGTTTAGACAGTGAGCCCTGCAGCGTGTGTACACAGCCTTTGGACTTTTTTCCCGTATCAGTGCTTGTGGACCGTGCCTAGAGGATGACATATTAGACGCTCCATCGTACCCTTGTCCCCGACAGTTTTTTATGTCTAAGTTCCACAGTGGTAAGGTATCCAGTATCGAGCTAGCAATCGCCTCCCCGCTTATCCCCTGCAGATTGTTGAATCCTAAAAATTCCTCGTGGATATATCCATCATTGTCAAAAAACGTATGACACTGAGAAGTGATAGCCAATTTATGCACCCTTATAATATTGTACCCTGCGATACAGCATGTGATGCCTTTTTAAATTGATTTTCTTTTGTTCTTCTTCAAAAACGAAAACCTCGTCTCGCTGAATTTCGAAAGGGGGTTTCCGATACTTTTTCCCTCTTGAAATAATGTTCATTTTCATAACCCAAAAGGGGGGTTCCAGAATCCCTGGAACCCTCCCCTGGCTACGCCCCTGTCCCTGGAGGCAGATTAGAAATGTTAGGTATGGTCCGGCAAAACTGTATCGAGTCACCTGTTGGAGTACGACAAAATTTCTTGTAAAGTCGATTACGTGTGCGGATATGCTTTGAAATATCTGGACTGATCCATTTGATTATAAAGACCAGACCAATGTGACCATATATCGTCGATGTTGTAGGCCGAATGAGTAGTAACGAGGTTAAAGAAGCAACGACGTTACAGAAGTAACAAGGTTACAGAAGTACCCAGGTTACAGAGTAACGAGGTTACAAAAGTAACAAGGTTACAGAAGTAACAAGGTTACAGGAGTAACAAGGTTACAGGAGTAACAGGGTTACAGAA